CCCAGATTTGCGCACAGTGGCGGGAGCTGCCCCCCCTCGTTGCGCCTCCGTCCCACATCCCACCCCAGCTGGGCAGTGCCTGCTCCTGCCCCACTCCCTCCCTCACCGAGGGGGCCTTGATCTACCCCTGCCATGCCCCTTCCCTCCCCCTCCCCTTCCACCCCACAGACTTACCAGCTGGACCTTGCTCCCCAAACTGCTAGGCTGCATGTCAGCAATCTGATCTGCATCAGTCAATATAGCTGGTTAACAATTGACCATTGGTATCAGCCAAAAAAATCTTTATCATTGCACCCCTACTGACAATGGACTTGGTAGTATCTGAAATCCTAAGGAGACAGCCTGGAACAGAGGATGCTCACGGGTTCTAGTGCGACACGTGGTGTTCAGAATGATCGAGTTCTGCCTGCTCAGTCGACGCGGGCTTTGAAACAACTGAGTTCTGGCTCAATTGATAGGATTTGGCTAGTTTGACCTGGAACACGAACAATATTAACAAAAAACTTCCCAAGAGCACCTTGGGTTTTGCATATGCTGCCTCAGTGAGCTGCCTCAAAAGTTATTGGACATTTTGAACACTTTTACTACTGTTGAGTGTATATCATACAAGGGTTGAAATGATGGCACAAATACAGTAATGCCTGCACACCCACAGGGTCGCCAACTCTGTTTGAATCTATTCCGTGAGGTTTCACGTAAGGACTTTAATTACAGCGTGCAGATTTACATCAGCAAGGCAAATTCACATTACTGTTACATTTTAAAAGCCCACTGCACTACTGTATTTAACATTTATTTTAAAGAGTGCCCCATCATTTACCCCCTGGGCGACTCCCAGCAGTCTCCTGGAGATTCACAGATAATTCCTGGGATCCAGGGCAATCCTGGAGGGGTGGCACTGGCACCCTACACACGCGGCTACACTGAGAGGTGCTCGGCCGCTGTGGCGGGCACCCCGATGGGCAGTGCCGGGGCCGCACCCGGCCCGGATCCAGCGGCAAAGTGGAAGGGGCCGGGGCCGCGCCTGCAGCTCCCCCGACCCCGGCCGCACTCACTCACCGGCCAAGCCGCCCCGTAGGCGCTCGGGGAGGACGCGCAGCTGCCCGTGCAGCTCCCGGAAGATCTCGTGCAGCCGCTCCAGGTGCTCGGAGGAGCCCGGGCCCCGCGCTGCCATGACGGTGGGGACAGCGGCGGCCCCAGCCCCCCGCCCAGGTCCTGCCGCCCGCTCCGCGCCGCTACTTCCGGGATGTGTGAGAGGGGGCCTCCCGCTCTGTCTCGCGAAGGGGGTGCCCAAATCGGCGCCTGACCAAAAAAAAAAAAAGAAGGAAAAAAAAAAAAAAAAAAGCTCCGTCCGGAGCAAGCTGAAGGCAGGCTCCAGCTGCCTGTCGAGGAAGGGTCGGGGGGAGATATTCGGGAGGTCCAACTTTGCTCCCGACGGTGACTAACGGATCAAGCGCGCACTTACGTCCCCTTAGAGGGCATCATCAGGACCACGGGGCGCGCAGGGCATGCTGGGAATTATAGGCCGGCGTAGGGACAGTCATAAGGCGGTCACGGGAGTGCCGGGCTAGTGCGGACGGCGGGGTGGTTATGTGCGCATGCGCTCAGATGACTCCAGCCAGGTGTCCAATCTCCTTTTAAGCACCTCCAGGAAAGGGGACAGCACCACCTCTCTTGGAGCTTATTCCATATTTTGGCAACCCTCACTATAAAGGTTTTATTTCCTGATGTCCAATCTGAATTTGCTGTCTTCCAGTTTGTGGCCATTATTTCTAGTTACCCTGACAGCTGCCCTGGTAAACATTGTATCCCCTATTTCTTGCTACCCCCCACCCCATGAGTTCGTAGGCGCCCATGCAATTACCTCTCAGCCTCCTTTTGGGGAGGCTGAAGAGGTTCAGTTCTCCCAGTCCGTCCATTTAGGGGGTTTCTGTAGGCCTTTAACCAGATGAGTGGCCCTCCTCTGAGCCCTCTCCAGGCCATCCGCATCCTTCCTGAAGTGTGGTGCCCAAAACTGGATACAGTACTCCAGCTGTGGCCTGACCAGTGTCGCATAGAGGGGAAGGATCACCTCCCTAGACCTGTTGTGATGCACCTACTTATGCGAGACAGGGTGCGGTTAGCTTTACTTACTATCTCATCACACTGGTGACTCATGTTCATTTTGGAGTCGACTACGACTCCGCGATCCCTTTCTGCAGGTGTGCTACTGACACTTATCCTTGTTAAACTGCATCCTATTCTGTTCGGTCCATTTCCCCAGCCTGTCCAAATCAGCCTGGATTCACTCCGTGCCGTGTAGTTTGTGTACATCAGGCACAAAGGGAGACGATCCCGATGGGAGGAAAAAGAGGGAAAGGGGCCAGGAGGCTTCCTTGGTTGACCAGAGAAATCCAGGGCAGCCTAAGGGCCAAAAGGGGAGCACATAAAAAGTGGAAACGGGGAGAGATCACCAAAGATGAATATGCCTCCTCTGCTCGCGCTTGTAGGGAGGCAGTTAGACGGGCCAAAGCTGCCATGGAGCTGAGGATGGCATCCCAAGTAAAGGACAACAAGAAATTGTTTTTTAGATATATAGGGAGTAAAAGGAAGGCCCAGGGAGGAATAGGACCCCTGCTAAATGGGCAGAAACAATTGGTGAC